AAGGAGAAGAAGAAAAAGAGGCTAGGGTTTTATTGATTCTGCATAATGTAATTGAATGAATAAAACCTAGATACAAAGAGACTATATATAGTCTAAAATAAAGAAAACTTAAAAGACTATTCTACCCTTAATAAATAATGTTAACAAAATAATCATATATTTCTTAACACCAATTACTGAAAGCATTTAGACAAGGTCAATAAATTCCACACCCATCAGCAGTATGTGTACTTTCCAAACTACTCAAGCTTTCCCCTTTAATGGCTCCCACACGTTTTTCTTCTCTTAACAGCAGCATCTACATCTGACTTTTCCATACCCTCAGAGTATCTATTATGGGTTCCAAGATACTGCAACATTTATTAAGACCTAATGCCGTGTTAATACTCGGGACCAATATTACATGCAATCATTTAAATTGAAACATCTGCAGCATGAGATGACAGTAAATTCACTTCTCATAATATAAAGCAGTGACAAGCTGATGAGGCCATGAAGGGAGTAGAAGACGTCCAACAAAGTCGTCATCTCTAATATAATTCAAAATCTATGCTATATAGAATTGCAGTTATAAGTGTTTGTATGTCATTGTTGCTGTGCTATATAAAATTCAGTAATAAGGGAGCAGTTTATCCGTTGTTAGAGAGTGCTCTATTTCAATCTCCTTATTGGATATTTTAGTGATGTCCAAATAACCCAAAACCGTGGCCCATTAACTTCATAGGCTATAAGCTTAGGATTGAAGAGTTTCATTTAATCCACAACACAAAAAGTCGGAACCCAATTGAGTTGGGTGTTTTGAGGAAATCAACCCATTAGGGTTTGGTGCTCAATACCCGTTTTGGAAGATAACCTTGAACAGATTGGATTCACTTGGTATCCTTATCCTCAGTATCTCTATGCTTGATAACTAATTTCATATCTTGAGGAGTCTATCTTTGTGAGAAACTCTTGGAAATTCGTTTTTACTTCCTACCTATAAGTTGGAGTCTTTGGCCTCGATTTTCAACACACCAAAATTACTTTGCTTTGTGCCTCTTGGAAGAAGCTGAAAACCGTCTCTGCCTTTGTGTGCAATCTTCTTCAGCCTTAGTGTGCCTCTGAGATTCTACCATTATCTCCACCCTTTGGTGTACCCCTTTGTGGTGTTGTGGATTGAATCTCTGAGCTGAATAGAAAGGGGATTATTTGTTCATTTTAATTTCCATTCTTCATTTGTCGATTTCTTTGTAGTTTGGTGTTAATCCACTTACTAATTGGTTAATTTCTTCTATTTGTAGGATGGGTTATCTCTTATAATTGGTATCAGAGCTTGGGTGTGCGAAATCCAGCCAGAAATCGACTGAAAATCTCGAAGTCCTTCAAACGCTCGAGCCTGCAAACTCAAATTCCGGCCAAACCACTCAACTGCCTGAAAATCTGAAACCATACCCGGACTCAGCAGGCTTGGGTGCACCTCCCGGTGGTGCGCGTGGTGGTGACAGCGTCGGCGACCAGCGGCTCGTGGGCGGCAGGCGACGGCGCGTGGAGGCTCATCTCCGAAAGCTCTCTTCAGGCAGTTTTCTTATTTTAATATCCTGAACGTACTAATATAATTTGTTTCGTGTTTCAGATTATATAGAAAAAGTTGGACATTTTGTCCTTGGTGGGTCGACTGTTGGAGACAGCTATATATTTATTGAATTACTTTAGGCCATAAATTGCGGCCTAAAGCAGTAAATTCACATCTCTCGTAAATTACAGACTCAGAAAGGTCCGTTCTGGTAAATTGGTTGAAACATTTACATTATCGCACTAGCAGATCATCGTGTGGGGTGATCATTAGGATTGGGGGTTGACATTACTTGGTAACCATTGCTTGTTGGTAGAACCTAGGATTACTTGACATTCTCTATTTAATTTCTAAGTGAAATTATTTATTTATTGTCTTTAGATTTATTTGTTGAACGTTATTATTGAATCTTATATTATTTTAGATTTGTACCCGGACTCCTATTCTAGTTT